GAGCCGGAGAGCCCGATCGCCCGGCCAGGCTCCCCCGCCAGCCACCGCCGCCCACCCCCGGCCTGCTGCACAGCACCAGGATGGTCCTCAAACTGGCCGTTGTGATTCAGGTGCTGGCATTGACCGTGGGCCACGTTCACGGCTTCCCTAAACCCGAGGGGGCCAGAGGTAGGTGGCTTCTCAGCCCATTTGCACTGGGATGGGACAACTTGTACGTGGAAACAAGAAGGAAAAGCAAAAACTTCTCTGTCTCTCTCTCAATTCTTTTCTTTCTCCCTTTCTCTCTCTCTCTCAAGTGGAGCTCAAGGGGTATTTCTCCACCCCTTGAGGAATGAGCTGATCTTTTACTTTGAGCTAGGAGGTGAAAGAAGAGGGAGAGCTCTTTATTTCACAGTTGCTTCTCTTCTGACAGCCCGGGTATCTGTTCTGCAGCAGTTCTCAAGACTCTCTGACTATGGTCCTATTGTGGATGTAACAGATCTTTTAATCTCCTGGTTACAACAATCTGATTACCCTCTGGCTATTTTAGTCAAGCTCTTACACGCGTTTTTAAAATGCATGTGTGGGTTTTCAGATCAGAGAGCACAGGGGAAGTCCAGCATGTGGTACCTTTCTGGCACATTTCTTTCCTGGGGGGAAAAAAAGACAAACTATTTTTGTCCTCCTAATTTAAAGGGTTAGCCTTGTTTTTCCCCATGCTAGAGGTACTGGATTTGTTTTGTACGGATGTATAACGGACATCGCTTTAAATGCAAGTGTTTAGGAAGAAGATGGTGATTTTTTAAAAAAATATTCTGCCTCTGTGTATGTGTGTATGTCTCCACAACTGAATGTATATATATCTATTTATTCTAGATAAAGTTATTCACAACAGACAATTAAGTGCAGAGAGACCTTTGGAGGAACAGGTAGGTAAAATGAAAATGATCAAAATATTCACTGAATTTATAAGTTAGTAAATGTTATTTTCTAAGCTTTCACTTGTCACACTGATGAGAATGTTAGTAGTTTGACAACCAGATTAACAAAGGGTATGTAAGGAAAATAAACATTGATGGGTTTGGGGCATGAAATGTCTTAGAGTTTCAATAATAGCTAAGAAACAGCATGTAGTTTTACCAGCCTAAAAAAATAGGTTGTTCTGTTGTCTCCAAAACAACACAAAGAAGTTTTTCCCACAGAATGTAATTGAAATCAGTGGAAGTTTGGGTTGAAGAAGGGAAGCAAAATCAACCTCCTACAATAAGTAGTGCTACAATAAATTATAACTTTGCCAAGCCTGTCTGTGACTCCAGGATGGAATACCACCAAACCAAACAAAAAAGCCCAAGAGCTTCATCCTGTACGTCTTAATAAGGCAAATATCGCCTGACTCCTAAATAAAGAGTGCGGTAAAACTTTTCCTAAAATAGTATGAAGAAAATACATTCTATTGTGTGAAGGTGAATAAAGAACATGTGGTAAAATGCACTCATTCTTCCCATTTTGGATTTGTTCTCATATACCAGATTGCTGAAGCTGAGACAGACAAGATCAGAAAAACAGTCTCCACAGGTAAACCATTTTTCCTGCTAATTCTTCAAGTCTACACAGTAGCATACTGAGAGGTCTGAGACTACATGTCGTGTGTGTTAATACATTTTCCAGAAAATAAGCCAGAATTCAGAAATTATTCCTTTGCTGATGATTTGAACCTGCTACAGTCAGTAGCAGAAAAAGAAAGAAATGAAAAGGAGAGGGCATCAATTAGAAGCTCCCTATACGAGCACCAACTGGCCCTTGATGATGCAGACTCCACCAAGAACCGCAGGCTCGTGGATGACTATGACTCCACTAAAAGTGGGCTGGATTATAAATTTCAAGGTATTTCAACTTTTCAGTAACATTTAGGTTGGATTTTTCATGCAAGTTATTGCAGTCATGAATCATTCAATCACCTACCTAAAAATGGACCATTCTCATCACTGGACTGTACTTTTAATAACTGGTTTTTAGTTTAGAAACCTATTACCTAACATCTACTGCAACTTGGCACACAAGTATAGAGAAGCTTATGGTCAATGACACTTTTCACAGTCCACTTCCATGGATCCACTCCAAATACGTAATCTGTATATGTTTAGTATAGCAGTCAGATTCAGGGGCAGGAGGATATCATATCTTGTAAGCTATGTTTTCAAATACAAATAAGTACATTTCAGTTACTGAAAAGAAAGTACACTCTAAGTATTATTTTTATAGAATTTACTAATATACAGGGATTTTTCCATATATTAATTGTCTTACTAGCACATTTGTTATTTATCACATAGTGCAAAAGGAAAAAATTCAGATCCAAATTATGCTGGCTTTAATCACAGGCAAAATTCATTGCCTTCAGTGGGTATAGTGAGTCCCTGGAGTAAGGTGAGCTGGATTTGCCTTAAGGTATTATTTAATTATACCAAAGTATGCTGATCATGGTCATAATCAAAGTCTGCTTATCTTATTTACCTTCAGATTGATATAACTTGAGTGGACAAAGATTGCAAGATTAAGTATTTAATTTGCTGAAATCCAAAGAGGAAAAAAAACAATATCCCCCATGTTCTCACTTGTTTTGTTCTAAGTCATATGGTTAATATAAGCATCAATAAGATACATGTAAGCAGATAGAGGAGCAATGTGGCAGTATGACATTTAAATAATCTTTTATAAATAGCAAATGATTGTGCTTTGTCATTTTTTGTGCTTACAAGGAGAGACTTTTTTCAGAACAACCAGATGTGTATTTAGCACATTGCACTGTTATTGGTATGATGTTTTACAAACATACAATACCAATGCACAGCAGACAAATGTACCCAAATATCTGGGGAAAAAATGAGTGGCTAAGCTGAAAGAAGATACATACAGGTTTTTCTTAAAAGATATCTAAATCCAATGAAATAGAGATGGTCCTTATCCAGTTAAACTGTAATTCTTTTAGATGATCCAGATGGTCTCCATCAACTAGATGGCACTCCCTTAACTGCTGAAGATATTGTCCAGAAGATTGCCACCAGAATTTATGAAGAAAATGATAGAGGAGTATTTGATAAAATTGTCTCAAAGCTGCTAAATTTGGGTCTAGTAAGTTTCCTATTATCATTTAATTTAACTGTTCTATTGTTTTGTTTTTTCTCCTTTATTTACTGGGATAATCGCTGGGATAAATGTAATACGCCTAAAACTGACAAGCTAATGATACTGACTTGAACCAGAAAGAGTGAGAGTCAGGCTCTAGGCAACTTTCTCAACTCATTTGTGCCATTGCACATCGATCTTACCCTGCAATAACCTTGCTATTCGCATCCTGGATTTTGCAACGAGAGATGGCAAGTAAAAGTATGTTCTGATGTGGACAAAAGTCCACTGAGGATGAGAATGAAAGTGTCACACTCATATATTTTTTTATTTCCCTTTTTGTTTTCAATTACTTCCTTTGTTTTATCAAGTATCTTGTCACTGTCATGGCAAGACTCTGGGCCACGACCCTCTAATGTGTAAGTCAACATAACACCTTTGATTTCACTGGAAGCACAATGGCATACACCAGCAGAACCTAGCCTAATAAGTGTTTCTTAATGTTACCCATCAAAAAACTCAGTTTGATTCCAAATCTCCAGATATCACAGACTAGAGTATCTACTGCAATACCTACTCTTTTTTCCCTCTTTTTTGTTTTCTTTTCCTTAAATATGATCTTGCATGATGAACTCTTACAGATTTCAAAGGGAGATCTGTGTAGAGCACCAACAAAATTGAGTCTGCATTCAAGTAACAGAATTAACATAAGAAAGAAAATGCATTGTCGTGAAGCTGTAAAAGTTTAACTGTATTTTCAGTTTATATATGACTATATTCCACCATATGTAACCTATATAGGCCACAACCAGGGCCCATGGTTTTAGGAACTACACAGCTATCTAGTCCTTTCTTCCACAGAAAAAGAAATCAAATCTAATTTGGCTGTATTCAACCATGAAGCAATTAAACAGGTTAGATAGCTGACTAACTAACTAATGGAAGACTGGTTTAAAAAATTCAGTATGTTTACAATTCAGAGTACATAAAGAAAATAATGTATATCAACAGATTACAGAGAGCCAGGCCTATACTCTGGAAGATGAAGTGGCTGAAGTTCTACAACAGTTAATTGCTAACGAAGCAAATGATGGTGAGAAGGAGTCAGAAGCTCTTGATTACCCTCCAAGCAGAACAGACAGTGATACAGAAAAAAAACAGGAGGAAAACATGGTAATTGTTCTTAGCTAATCATTTTGACTCACTAAATAGTATGAATAGACCAATGCACTGTTCTGTGCTTCAGGGAATAATTAGTTCAGTCTGGAAACTGTAAGAATGTTTTTTAAAAAATGCCATCAAATAGAAACATGAGCAATATAGGACATAGAAGTTTATGCCAAGATCGCATATTGAAATAATGTTGTGAGAGCCACTGATCTCCTTCCAATAAGAGAAGTATTAGCTCAAGCCAGTACACAGCATAAGGTTATGATAATGTTTGCTGCTTTTCTAATCATGTCACCTGAAACAGAGGTATCAAACTCACCTTCTGGCCTGGGCTGGGTATGTACTGTGGGGCTTCTTGGAGGCCGGATCCATCTCAGGGCATGGAGTGGTGGTGGCGGCAGCAGCTTCAGTTCCAACCCAATACATGAGATAGCAGTGGCATCAGCTCCAGCACCCACCACTGTTGGCACTGACGTATGTTTCATGCCAGGGCAGCAGCAACGGCTCTAGCATAGAGCATATGGCAGCAACAGCTGTGGCTCTGGGTCAAGCACAGGTCCTGGGGTAGTGGCAGCAGTGGGACCAATGGTCAAGGATCTAGTTCCCCAACAGTGTCAATGGGCAAAGCAGCTGGAGGCTGACCAGGGCTTTGTCAGCCCTTACTCCCCACCCTCCCCACTTTTCCACACCCACAAACTTCTGGTTCCCTGATGAACCAGATACATTAGCTACATGGGCTGGAGCCAGCCCTTGGGCCGTATGTTTGACCCCTGATGTAAAGTAATGTTTTTCTAATCTCTTTCTATGAAGACCCCCAGCAATGCTGATCAAGATGGTTTTATTAATGGAGAATCTGATGATACTTTGGATAACGCATGGTCTTCCTCTAATGCCTTGGAAAGAAGAAATGAACTCCCTTCAGACAATAATTTTGAGGACCTCCAATATTTCCCAAACTTTTATGCACTGCTAAAAAGTCTTAATTCAGGTGAGCTCTATGTTTTCTCAGTAATGTGTTTTAGAGCAATATTTAGCAAGGAAAGTAGAATCTAGTTATGTGTTGAGGTTTTTCTATTTTTCTTTCTCAGCCTGAAATCTCTTCCACCTACTTCAAGGACCCACGTCTCAGGGACTTTTCCCTTAAGATAAGAAAGCCTGGATGGAACTCCTTTCGGATCCCATCCAGATCACCCCTAGTTCAGCTACAGTGACTGCTGCAGAATGATGTCACAAACTCCACTCCCCAGGGACAAGGTGTATTACCTCTACAGACTTAACAGTTTGGGGCTATGAACCCAGGAGTCTTGAAATCTTTTTCTCTTTATCATCTCTCTCTAAGACGTAGAAAGGAAAATATGGCAAATTGTTTTCCCCAGAGATGTTCCCAGTAAGAGCCTTTTCTCCTGAGTTAAGGGAAATATGAAAGTGAATCAGGTCATATTATCATCAACTGCACAGTGATGGTGCCAGTAAATTATACTTAGCATTCCTGTCCTTTTCTCAAACCACAGACTCCTTTCTATATTGTGATGAAGGCCCTGAATCACATCTTCCTTCTCTGGTGTTATGCATTATTCTGTCCCAGTGCATTATCATCTAGATTGTGGCACCTAGCCACAGCTGCTCTGTCAGTGCACACTGTCTCACTTCCACTCTCATACTCCTCAGCCAGCAACCATTCTTTCACTGTCACCAAAAAAGCCAACAACTCGGCAGATTCTTTCTTCTGAAGAAGTCTGGATCCTTCCACCACCCATCCCCACAAGCAATAAGCAGGAGTCAGAACCAAAGGTGATTTTTTTTTTCCCTTTGTCCTTTCCGTAAGGCTTGCATTCTCCTATTTTGTCCTCCCCTTCCTCTTAGAAGCTTGGGCTGGGGGTTTTCCTTCTCCCCTCTCTGTATTCACAAAGCAGAGAGTTCAGCAGGTAAGCAAGCAAGTAGAACTGCAAATCAGTCTTTACACATGTCTTAGTCTTGTCTCCTATTTCAGGCTCCTTCCCTGCCAACTAAGGACGAGAAGATTCAAGTGACCCCTACCAATATGTGTGTAGATTTTCTGAGAGGCAGCTCCTCAGTTGTGCTGGGCTTTGAGCTAAGGCCAGGATAGTGTTGTCACCTATCCTTGCCTACCAGTGGCCCATGCAATATAGTATGCCAATAATTTCTCACGTAACTCAGTGGTGACTTCCTTTTGATCTGTTTGGTTTAAAGAATAATAAAAAAAAATTGTAGAGTAGATGGAAAGACCAGTGACTCAAGTTCTTAGTAATATCCGGGCAATTGATGAATTCTGTGCTCATGATGCAGAAAGACTGACAAGTTTATTGAAAAAACATGAGTGAATGAAGCAAAGAACAACGAGGAGAAGGTGGTGAGAAAAGTCAGGGCAGGAGAAGGGGATTTGTCATGCCATAATAAATTTAACTCAAGGCAAGGTACTTTTTTACCATGAAAATTGCAAGCATGATCTGAGAGAATAAGGATCCATTCCAGTACTGAAAGTGTAGACACCTCTCCAGTAGCTGAATCATATTTCTGTGGAAATCAATAAGCTTCATGACAAATTTTAAATGTCTCTATAAGAACCCATGGAGCTTATATGAGTTCCCATATACAAAGTGGCATTGCCATGTTGAATCTCTTTCTATAAAGTCTGCTTTTGAAAGCATATTCTTTTTCCTTATTATTCTGCCATGGCCAGTCCTGAAGCAGTCAGTGCTCTGTCCCTCTACTTTTTCAAGTATTAACAAAAAAATTAGATATCTGGAGGCCAGGCCTGTTTTCAGAGGTCAAGTAACAATTCCAGTGTACTAAATGTGTTAATATCATGGCCACAACTTGTTGATTTTTAGCTTCCAGAACAGCTGTTATTCTAAATATTTTAGTTAAGACGTAATGAATGTCCTCCAAAATCTCTTTCTATTATGAGGTGTTCTGGCCACCAGATCTGCTATCCAGTTGTAGACAAAAGGTGCTCAGTGCAATTGCTACATGATTGCTTTTAAGACCACTAACAGATAGAAGTCTTCTGGACAGTTCAGACATAAGTATAATAAATTCTGCATGCAACTTAAGCTGATTGTTCCTAGGCCACAGTCTGTAGCCAGGGCCCACCAGCAGTGCACATTGCAGACATTCAAAAGCTTCCACTGCTACTCTCCATCTTGAAGAAAGATTCCCCTTATTCCGTCTTCACCCTCCACTTGTAGTAGGATTTTCCATTAAAAAGGAAATCATTTGATAGAGAACTCTATATCAAAGTCTGCCATTGCTCCCATTAGGATAATCCTGTTAGCCCTAGTAATCCCACTCTCTCAAACCTTTCTTCTTCCAGCCACTATTTCTTCTGTCATGATTAGGTTAACCTTTGGCTACAGAGTCAATAATGAAAATCCACACATCCCTACCCAATCCTCAGACAGCTTTAGTATACAGCAGGGGTGCTCAATCCCTGGCCCATGGAGCCATGTCATCTGGCCTAAAGGGTTCCCCATGGGTTGGGAAATTTGGTGGTGAAGGAGCAGTAGCAGTTAATGCAGCCATCCCTCCTCTGCTGCCAAATTACCAAGGACTGCATGGTCATATTAGCCTTGGGCTGCTGCCACATGGCTGGATTGAGCCCTGGCCAGACGTGCCCTGCACAGCTGTATCAAGGCCAGGTGACTGCTGTGCAGCTGGATTAGGCCCCAGATGCACTCACCCCTAGTAGCCAGGTCAGGGCTATGGTGTTGCCATGTGGCTGGCTCAGGTCCCTGCTGTGCTGACCCTGCATGCCAGATCAGATCAACAAGCTGGATCCAGTCCACAGATAGACCTGGCAATACCCATCTGATCTGTGGGGTGAAAAGGTTGTGATACCATTGGTCTATAGTACTGCTTCTGTGAATGTGCTTGTTTGTGAACATGCAAGAATGACCGTTGGAATAAGAAGCCTATTGCTCATGTTGCTTTTTTTATTTTCATAGTTTCATAGCTGTTAGGGGCTGGAAGGGACCTTACAGATCATCAGGTCCATCCCCCTTGCATATGGGCAGGAAAGACTGCTAGGATCAAATGATCCCAGCAAGATGGGAATCAAGACATTTTTTAAAGATGGCCAGGGTGGATGACTGTACCAGTTCTTGGGGGAGCTTGTTCCAAATCCTCAACACTCGCTTGTAAAGAAGTTTTTCCTTATGTCTAGCCTGAAGCGATCTTCAACCAACTTGTGCCCAATATTTCTTGTCTTTCCCTGGGGGGGCCTTGGTGAATAGATGCTCCCCCTGATGTATGCCTCAGATGTACTTATAGGCTGCAACCAAGTCCCCTCTGAGTCTTCTCTTCTCCAGGCTGAACAATCCCAAGTCCCTCAGCCTCTCCTGATACATCTTGGTCTCCAGGCCTCTAATCATGCATGTGGCCCTCTTTGGACTCTCCTGAGCTTCTCCACATCCTTCCTGAAATGTGCTGCCCAGAACTGGATGCAGAACTCCAGCTGCGGCCTCACCAGGGCTGAGCAGAGAGGAAGAATGATATGCTTAGCCTTGCTCAAGATGCATCGGTAGATGCATGCCAATGTTTGATTAGCTCTGCCAGCTACGGTATTGAATTGGTGGTTCATGTTTATTTTAGTGCCTATCATGATACCCAAGTCTTGTTCAGATGTGGTGCTGGCAAACGTAGCACTGCCAAGCCTGTAAGCGTGTTGTGGATTATTTCTCCCCGGATGGAGCACTTTGCATTTCTCTGTATTAACGACATCTCATTGAGGTCTGCCCACCTTGCAAGCCTGTCCAGGTCAGCCTGTATTGCCAGCCTGTCTTTAAGTGTGACCACACTCCCCCATAGTTTGTTGTTGTCAGTGAACTTTGCTAGGTCACTTTTAATACCTGGATCCAAATTGTTGATCAACATGTTGAAAAGCACTGGTCTGAATACTAAACCTTGAGGGATACCACTCGTCACCCTCCACCATGATGACTCAGTTTCATCAATCAATACTCTTTGGGTCCTACCACAGAGCCAGTTGCTTAGCCACCAAACCATAAAGTAGTCAAGGCCACATTTTCTCAATTTTTTCATGAGGGCTTTGTGGGAGATGAGGTCAAAGGCCTTTTTGAAGTCCAGGTATATGACATTAACCTCATTTCCCCCATCCAGGTGGCAAGTAACTTGATCATAGAAGGAAATCTGGGGTTGATCTAGTATGACCTGCCCATAACAAAGCCATGTTGGCTATCCTTCAGAATACTGCCTTCTGCTAGCCTGTCTGTAATAGATTCTTTGATTATTTTCTCCAGGATTTTACCAGGGATTGAGGTCAAACTGATTGGCCTGTAATTTCCCAGGTCTTCCCAGGTCTTCCTTCTTTCCCCCATAGTTTGTTGTCGTCAGCGAACTTTGCTACTTTGCTTTTAATACCTGGATCCAAGTGTTGATGAACATATTGAAAAGCACTGATCTGAGTACTGATCCTTGGGGGATGCCACTGGTCACCCTCTGCCATGATGACTCAGTTCTGTCAATCAGTACCCTTTGGGTCCTACCATGGAGCCAGTTACCTAGCCACCAGAGCGTGAAGTAGTTGAGGACACGTTTTCCCTATTTGACCATGAGGACATCATGGGAGACCAGGTCAAAGGCCTTTTTTCATCCTCTCTGGAATATAATTGTGGTTAAAAAGTTAAATATGGTGGATATGAGATCAGTAAGCAAACTGAAATATATGCATTATTGACACTGAAGGTCTTAAAGGTAAGATGTTATGGTAAAAAATGCTCAGTCCTTGGATATCAGAATCCTCCATTTTTTAAAAGGTGTTACAATAGTGTAGAGATGAGGGGGGTGGGGGAGAGCCAGCCTGTGGGAGGCACCAGCTGGGCTCTCCAGGGATATTCAGTCCCCCACAGCACTTCCTGCCAGCACTTCTGGTTTTGCCAACAATGTTTGCTACACCACTGTGGTGTTATTAAGTTGAGATACTTTATGGGCAGAACTAGAGCATTTGCTTCCCCATTAAAATTGAGTATTTTGAATGATGCAAATTGTTGAAGATCTGTGTGTCCATACTAGATCAGTGACATCTCCCTCTAAACTGTCTGGCTGGTATGTAGAGTTTTTGTCAGTTGTTCACTACCAAATCTCAATGGAAGTCGTGCAGGTAACAAACTGCTGAGTGACTGTTTGAGTGGTGAGAGTGATATGGATTGAGCTACAAGTAGTTAGTGGGATTAAATTATAGAGTCTTGTTTTAATGATAGGTTTTCATTTCAGTTAAATTTATCTAGACGCTATTGCATGTAGTGCCATAAACTCTGTGCAACACCTCTAGATTTTGGACTTCCTTTTGATCTGTTTGGTTTAAAGAATAATAAAAAAAAATTGTAGAGTAGATGGAAAGACCAGTGACTCAGGTTCTTAGTAATATCCGGGCAATTGATTTTAGTCTCTGCTTGAGAAAAACATAGAGTAGATATATCAATAAATGATAATATATGTATATCTAAACTGACATCAGTTCTCAGAGCTACTCACTGATGTTGAAATTCATCCATGCATAGGTGACTATTCCTATTTCAAGGGCCTAAAAGTTGCATAGTTCTTGTGTTAAACTGTTCCCTCAGGGTACAAGTATGATTATCCCTGAAGATCCATCTTGAAGGAGTGGATCAATACCAGTAAATGTAACTAAATTAATAGACTATGAAGTGTTAAAATCATTTAACTCACTCTTTTCCAGGCTGACTATTTAGGATCTTACCATGCAAGGTCAAGGAGAGCAGAGAATTGATGCCCAGCCAGGTGTCTGAGCTATCTTGCCAGTGCAGGCAGAGTGTCATATCAGTAATGCAACAGATGCTTTAATGACAAATAAGAAGACAGAGGTCAGAGGAGAGGGAACTATGGTAGTCTGGAAGTCAGGAATCCTAGTCTCTATTACCAGCTCTGCCACTGGTCTGCTCTTGGACCATTGGGAAGTCACTTCATTACTGTGTCTAAGCCATGGTCCTAGTGCTCCTAGGGGACTTTGTTCTGAAGAACATCCCACTTGCTGCCCCTGCTACTGATACATGCTAAACCTGGAAATGAGGCTGTGGGACTGCCACTGGGGACTTTCCCTGCAACCACTCACAAGCACTCCAGAGACCAAGATCTTACAAGAAGCAGCAGGGAAAGCTTCCCCTGAGCAGCTTCACTGCCTCATTTGGCACAAGTGAATGAGCAGGGACATGCTACAGAGCACTGGGCACAGGGTATAAATCCCTCATGCATAAATGGAGGAAATTATTCTTGCTCTACTTTGTAAAGTGTTTTGAGATCCTGATAAAAAGTTTTAGATAACAGTTTAGGCTCAGATTTTTAAAGTGTTTGGGTATCAAAATCCTGATGAAATCAATGGAAGTTAGGTACCTAAATATCTTAATTAAAAAAAGGCTGTTCTAAATGTCAAATATTATTACCATGTCAGTCCAAACCAGGGGCTTAATCCATGCTGCAGAGTCCATTGTATCTCCTGGCAAGAGTACCTCATCCTTCCAGGTTGAATGTTGGGGAGGTGTGTCTGGTAAGCCCTCGGTTAAAAGCAAGGGTGTTTTGGTGATATCAGGTACTTTGTGCCTGAAACATTGTCTAACATCTCTCCCAACTATACAGTACAGTTGGTCTAATAAAATATATCACTAAAAAAACATTGCTTCTCATATATCCTGGACCACCATTGCTACAAAAACACTCCAGCCTTACCTAAATTAAAACACAGATTGGGGCTTTAAGAGGGAATAAGGATAAGATATAGAGATAATGACATCTTTTAAGTGTGAGTATCTCTTCAGAAAAACCTCTAAGCTATGTGGCTCAAAGGTTTGTAAAGCCAGCAGCAGATAGGCCTGAATAGATTTCCTCAATATTTATGTCCACAGTATCTATTTATTATTATTTGATTTATATGGTGCTTTTCCCAACAAAGACTTGGGTCAGCTTACAATAATAAAAACAGAATAATGTAAAAACAAGAGAGTGACACAAGGTCCCAAATGGTTTAAAGGGGAAGTAGAATATCAAGAGAGAGAGACCTGCTAAATAACATCTCATCCTGGTTTTGTTTGGTGAATGTGTACCCAAATAGAAAGCTTCTTAAAATGAAGGAGCACAGCAGCTTTGAAAGTGCCATTCTCAGGGGAACAAACAACAGCTTCCATCTCCACTAAGCCACCAACAGCCAGTCTGTGACTTTATACATGAATTTAACACAAAGGGTTTTATGGGACACTATCTCTCGGAGTTCTGAGTGTAATTTGTTTTGTACCTTGATGCAGAGACAGAGGCAAAAGAAAAAGAAACCCTGATAACTATCATGAAGACACTGATTGATTTTGTGAAGATGATGGTTAAGTATGGAACAATCACACCAGAAGAAGGTGTTTCCTACCTTGGTGAGAGCACATACTTTATATGATAATATTATTCATCCTATGTTCTTCATCTACTAACAGTGATAATTATAATGTCATCTTGCTTGATTTTTTTTCAACCCTGTTTTGGGTTTGATCAATCAAAATGACAAAGCAGCATTCCATGATTGGTCTTTTTAATAATGTGGAATTCCATAATGTTTCATTATTTATGTCTTTTGAAATGAAGAGTTACTTATCAGATGTATATTTAGAGGACAATTCACCACTCTTTTAGTCCATTTTATTGTTCTGTTATTTCAATGGCCTTAAAACAGAATAAAACCAGTGATTTACTCCAGTAATAAACTGATGGATCAGCCTCATGCATTTTCCCACATACCAGCATGATTAGTCTGCCATTTACAGACACCTATAACAGAGGTGGCCTAATGTCTATCAAGTAAGACTACCAGCATCTGTAGAGATTGTTGCATGGTGACATTAGGTCTTGCCTCAGAGGCTGTTAGCTCTTAGAATCCCTTTCTGCTTGTCATGCAAACTTAATCATTGTTGTTATTTTCTTAAGTGAGAGCTTTAAATAAGCTAAACTTTCCTGCATACACTTCCCTTCTTTCACAATAAATAATCAAATTTACTGCAGCTGAGCAGCCGTGGCTAAAGGGGGGTCACTCCTTTGCATAAGCTCTGTGCAACTCTGTCATTTACTCAGCTATTCCTGACATGGTTTTATATATCAGGATGACCATTTGGTTTTAAAAAGCTGCTTGTTATTGTTGGCTGGAGGGTATTGTTGGCTGGGCGGGACCCACCCCGCCCAGGACCCACCCTCAGACCAACCACAACCTTTCCATTCGATAATAGGCAAATGTACTGATACACAGTGATAACAGAAAAGAAACAATATGCACAATCAAGCAATTCTATATATCTACCAAATCCTAGGGCTGTCATCAGAGTTAAAGTACATCTGGCCAGGATGCAGTCTCCACTCTCAGGCTCTTTCTTAGGTGTCAGATGTTCCAGAGCTGTCAGCAATCTGGAGGTGGGATGCCGAGGCCCACCCCCACCACCAGTGGGGTGTAGGAGACGGTCATGTGCCCTCCATGGTGGCTTCAGGGACCCTTCCCAAGGAACAGGGAGGAAGAAAGGGACAGGACAAAGGAAGGGACCCTTTGTTACTCTCAAGTCTCTGCTTTTGTTTTCTACTTTCCTCCTGATGATTCCTGATAACTCTTCATCTGTGGCTATCTCTTTGTGGTCACATGTCCATGCAGCCTTGCGGGCCTTCTCCTAATTTGGTGTGTTCCCCCAAAAGGGGGGCCCGGGGGGGGGGGGGGCACCACTCTCAGGCTTTGTTCCTGCTGTCACTTTATCTCGTGTTATGGAACACTATGGTACATATCTTCCTCTTTCCCAAGCTATGTGTTCATTCATTGGCCTTGTTGTGTTAAACAATCTGTCTGCTTCCAGAGCCAGAGAAATTGAATGACTGAGAGACCTAAGCTCTTTAGAAATTAATTAACCCCTGCTGCCCATCTTGAACACTGTGAGAGGCCCAGTGGTGTCGGGGTCCACCCCTGGCCAGACCTCTCAAAAGGGGGACGACTCCTTGTAGGACCACAGTGACTCACCCGGATCGGACGTGCATATGCACCTGTCTCGCCTGCCACGACTTGCTGGTATCTGTACCCGTCCAGTTGGTCCAGCGCGTACAGTCCAGGAATGAGCCTCTCCGCCACCAAGGGGTCCCGGGGTCCTGAGGGCTCCTCCACCCCTACACCCTCGCCCGATCCACCAGAGCGGCTGTCCAACCTATCTGGTCATTCACTTTTGATGACCGCGGACAACACAAAGAAATAAACAGAGAACAGTCAGTAACCAAGGATATCCCGGCCAAGGGTCCCTCAAGGGTGCCGCTCACTCCATGCCTGGACCTTGGCTCCGGAGTCCCTCTTCCCCGGTAGAAGCGGGGTGGGGAGTTCCCCCTTGAGTTTTCCTTGCAATGGGGCTATCCCGCCCATGTAGTCACCCAACAATAATAAAAAAAGGAAAAGCGCTGGTGACTCCCTGGTCCCCAGCGTCCGTTCCGGGGCTGCTCCACCTCATCTCTGGCCCTTATGGGATCCTTGCCGCTCCCCGCGGTGTGTTGCCTTTTTCAGCCCTGCTGGGCCTGCTGCCCGGGGCACTGACCCCTTCGTAGGGGTCCCACTTACCCCAGAAGGTCTGGCCCCTCCTCCAGGTGGCTCGGATTCGCCCGAGAGCACTCCCGCCAGCCTCGCCTCCGGGCCCTGTTGCTTCCGGGTCCGCCGCCTCCCGGAACCGCTCCGGTGCTCCTCTTATGTCAGCCCAGGCGGCCACGGCACCTCCCGCTTCCGGGACCCTGTGGGATTTAAATTCCTGCCGCTCGCCACAAGCCGGATCGCGCGAGCGGCGCTGGGTCACATTGGCTCGGCGTTCCTCCACACCTGCCATCTGCTTCATCCCCTTACATATCCCCCCCTTAAGATGCCGCCAGGCACCTCTATCTCTGTTGTCTACACCCTGGCACCGGCTTTCTTTCAGCTCGGCTGCCTGACTCCCAGGTTCGGGTCCGTGAGGTGGCTCTCCACACTGTGATAAGAAGTCAGCCACCGTATTGGCCTTCCCCGGCTTGTAGCCGACCTGAAACTGAAATGGCTGGAGAGCCAACGCCCATCACGTTATTTGTGCCTTGTCGGTTTTGGCTGAGTTCAGCCACCTGAGAGGTGCATGATCAGTCAGCAACCAGAATTCACGTCCTAGCAGATAATATCTAAAATAGTCAATACCCCACCTGATTGCTAGGCACTCCCTCTCAATTGTGGAGTACCTTTTCTCGTGGTCGTTCAATTTACGGCTGGCAAAGGTGATAGGTCACTCGACTCCGTCCACCTCTTGTGTTAGGACTGCCCCTAGGGCATATGCTGATGCATCTGTCTGCAGAGTAAACGGTACATTAAAATTAGGGGTATGAAGCACTACCTCCTGACACAGGGCTCGCTTTAATCCCTCGAAAGCTTTCCGCCTTTCCTCATTCCACTTTATCTTGTAGGCCTCTTGTCCCTTCATCGTTTCCACCAAGGGGTTAGCAATCTTTGCAAATTGAGGTATGAATCGCCGATAATAGCTAGCTAGCCCCAGGAACGCCTGCATCTGTTTTTTAGTCGGGGTGCTTCATAGTTCTTAATGGCTTCCACCTTGTCTTGCAACGGTTTCACTTGCCCTTGCCCTACCAGGAAACCTAAATACTTGGTTTCTTGCTTCCCTAAAGCGCACTTCTTCGGTTTGGCCATCAGCCCCTTCTGTCTTAATTCCAGTAGGATTGCTCTCAAGGCTCTTATATGTTGTCCCCAAGTCTCCGTGTACACAACAATATCGTCGATATAGGCTGCTGCGTACTCTTGATGAGGTGCGAGTACCCAATCAATCAGCCATTGGAAGGTGACCGCGGCCCCATTTAGCCCGAAAGGCATCCTTTTAAACTCGAACAGGCCCCACAGTGTGCCAAAGGCCATCTTTGGTTGATCTTCCCTCCTCAAGGAGATCTGCCAGTACCCCTTTGACAAGTCCAAGGTGGAGCTGAACTTAGCTTGTCCGATACGCTCGACGAGTTCGCTTACGTGTGGCATAGGAAAGGCGTCAAATTGGGTTAACGCATTCAGTTTTCTAAAGTCCACACACAACCATAAGCTCCCGTCGGACTTTGTGACTGCCACCAAGGGGCTGCGCCAGGGGCTGCATGAGGGAGTAATAATCCCTTGCACTAGCATTTTTTCTAGTTCAGCCTTGATGGGCTGGTGCCGATGGAAAGGAATTCTATGCCACTTTTCTCTTATGATTTGGCCTCCTTTTGTTATGACCTTATGCTCAACACCCTTCACCTTCCCTGGTTTGTCCGTAAAGACATCCTTGAATTCTTGTATCAGGGCTTGTATCTGCCACTGCTGTTGAACCCCCAACTGCTCTCCCACCGGGACGTGGGGGCAGTCAACGGGATCCTGGGACTGATTTCTTACAGATATCCCTGGTTCCTTGGCCTTAGAGTCTGGGTAGAGTAGAAGGCCCTGAGGCTCCTACCATTCCTAAAGTAGATTGATGTGGTATATCTGTTTTCCTTTCCTTGCGCCTTCCCATAGGATCTCATAGTCCACCGGGCCTACTTTTCTAACTATCGTAAAGGGCCCCTGCCACTGAGTTAAGAATTTGCTGCTGGAGTTGGGTAACAACACCAGCACTTTCTGACCTACCCTTAGTTCTCGTTCTTTGGTGTTTCTATCGTATCTCTCCTTCTGCTGCTGTTGGGCCCCCTCTGGGTTGCGCAGAGCCATCTCTTTAGCTACGCGGAGGCGTTCCCTCAAGCGCTGCACATGCTCGGTTGCCCCCTTCCCTGAGCTTGAGGCAGTCTCCCACCCTCCTCGCACTACGTCCAAGAGGCCCTGCGGTCGGTGCCCAAAGACCAACTCAAACGGGGAGTAGCCCATCAATGCCTGGGGCGCGTCTCTGACCGCAAAAAGCAGAGGAGGTACCAAAAGATCCCATCTCTGGGGATCAGCCTGTGTACATCGACGCAGCATACCCTTTAGAGTGCCATTAAAGTGTTCTACTAACCCACTGGATTGGGGATGATATACCATTGTCCTGAGATGACGTATCTGTAGTACCTTACATAAAGCTGCTAGGACCGTGGACATGAAGTTTGTCCCTTGGTCTGTCATTATCTTTCGGGGGATCCCGAATCTAGCCACTCACTTCATAAGCTCCTCAGCCACCCAGGCTCCTATGACCATTCTTAGAGGTATAGCCTCCGCGAAGCGGGTGGCATAGTCGATGAGGACCAGCACAAATTGGTGGCCTGCCGTACTCCGGGGTAACAGGCCCATAACATCTAGGGTTATCCCAGCAAATGGTTCCCTGACGACTGGCACAGGTTAAAGGGGTACCCCAGGGGGCTTGCTAGAGCTCACCCTTTGACACAATTCACAGGATCTACAATAGTTCTC